AATAGTCTGGATCTAGCACACTATATTTTAAAAGAAAATATAAAGTTAAACTATTAAAATAGATATTGGTAAATTCTTCTAAACTTCTAAAATGTTAAATCAATATATTTTTCTAAATTTAAATGTCAAATTATTTTCTAAATAATTTCAATACTCCTAATTAATTATTTTAAATATTTACCTTAAAATGGATGATTCTATCAATTTATTTCAAAATAATAACTTTTTTTTAAATAAAATTCTTAGAAAAATTTTTTTATATTATTTAAAATTTATTTTTTTAAATTATCTTCAGAATTTTAAGGTGTAAAAAATAATAAGCAAATTCTATACCAATCAAATATTTTTAATTAACTAATTTAAATTAGCAATATGACTTTAATTTGAATTTAAATTGAAAAGTATATATTTATTAATATATCAGATAAATTTATTTATCATAATACTTGGATTTATTTAAAGTAAATCCTCAATTTAAACTAAAAGCTTCAACTAAATAAAATCTTTTATTATAACTTATTAAAATAAATTTAAATTTTAAATAACTAAATTTGAGATAGATAAATAAATAAAAATCCATTACAATAAAATACATTATTTAAAATAAATATTATTCTCACTTATGTTTTATTTATTATTTTCAAATTTATAAAAATTTATAGTTTTCTTAAAGCAAAAAGACAAATATATAGCAAGATAGTTTCTACAATTAATTTAAAATTCTTCTTTGATTAATAATAACCATTTAAAAAAGATAATGCTACTAAATTAATCATTCAATAAAATAAGGATATCATAAATAAATTATCCTAACCAAAATTAAATAAGTTAATAAATGCTCTTTTGTTTGGATAAAAAGCAAAAATTATAAAAATTTTGTAAAAAGAAAATTCAATATGTAACTAAAAGAAATCATAATTGTTTGGAGGTTGTAAAAATCTAAAAGAGGCAAATTATAAAGAATAATAAGATAATAATGAGTAGAATACTCTTGATAGCTATTAAAAAACAATCTGTAAGAAGAAAAAAAATAAATTAAAAATTAACTTATTGATAAAAACAAATTTAAAGGAGAACAAAATTTAAGTTGACTTTAATAAAACTTAATATGAACAAAATTATTTTTATAAATATGAACAATAAGATATATTTGATAAGGAACCAAATTAACTTACGTAATTTTCGTCTTCGTGTGACAAGGATTAAAAAATTCAAAAATATGATTAAAGCTTGATAATCGAAAAATAAAAAATTTAAGTTGGCTTTAATGAAACTTAATATGAACAAAATTATTCTTATAAATATGAACAATAAGATACATTAGATAAGGAACCAAATTAACTTATATAAATTTTGTGTGACAATTATTAAGAAATTCAAAAATGTGATTAAAGCTTGATAAAGGAAGAATATAAAATTTAAGTTGACTTTAATGAAAATTAATATGAACAAAATTATTCTAAAACCAAACATGAAGAATAAGATACATTAGATACGGAACTAAATTAACTTATATAAATTTTGTGTGACAAGTATAAAGAAATTCCAAAATGTGATTAAAGTTTGATAATCGAAAAATAAGAAATTTAAGTTAAGAAAAAGGGAGAATGTCCTTAAAGCACTGCAGTTATCTCGTAATCAGCATAAAAAACTTTTCATTTATCAGATTTCTAAGGTATTTATTTGCCTTTCTAATTAATATTTATTTTTTTAATTTGGATAACAAGGTGTTAAGATATTTGAAAGCATCAAAGAAATTTTAATTAGCTAATAGCAAAAAGAAAAAATTTAAAAGAACTTATCATATTAACCTCAAAAAAATATTGGTACTGATTCTGAGCAACTTTTAAGATAAATATTTAATTTAGGAGATCATATCAACAGTGGAGGGGAGGCAGATATATTTACACATACATATGATGAAAGTATAGCATATAGAGTAATTAAATTAGATGAAGATGAGGATCTAAATGAATAACTATTAGAATTATACAGTATTAAGGAATTATAAGAGTAAAATATTTTAGATTTAAATACTTCTCATTTAATTGAAGATAAAATTAATGATACCAAGTATATCATTCATGTTATGTAAAAATGTTAAATGAGTCTTTCTGATGAAATTTTATCAAAAAAAGTTTTTAGTCTTAAAGAAATTTTAAGATTTATTTCTACTGCTTTTCATTTATTGATTGTACTTAGATAAAAGTATATCTATCATTCAGATATTAAGCCAGGAAATATCTTAAAAATTGATGATAATAATTACAAGTTATCTGATTTTGGTGCTTCTTAGTAAGTTAATTTTATTGATCCTTTTTGTGGTTATAAAATGTATACACCTGGCTTTAAACCATCAAAATAAAAATAAAGTTTACCTTTTTATCATGATATCTATTCTTTTGGCAAAACGATCCAAAAGTTATTAATGTAATTAGAAAATCACTCAGAAATTTCTAAATGTTTAAATAAATTTATAGATGAAGAAATTTGTAAAGATGATGAAAATTCTATTAAAGTAGATTGCTTTCAGTAGCCAAAAAAATTTATAAATATTTTAATGAATTTTATTAACTAAGAAGTAATAGATACATTCTTAGAGGAATATTTAAAATAGATAGAGGAATACTTAGTCATTTAAAAAGAAAATAAAGTATTTCAGTATGAATCATAATATTAATATGCTGAAATAGCTCTTTTCATTATTTCAAAAAAAAATCAAGATAACAATTAGAACAGTCAGTTAACTTCAATTAAAATAAAGGCACTGATAACTAAAAGTTATATTTTATGTAAAAGAAAACAATATAAGGAATCTCTCTCATGTATTAATGATATTTTTAGAGAAATTTTTGAAGATAATAGTTAGTCAGAAATCCTAATAAAATCAATTACAATTGTAACTAAAATCTTAATAAATAAATAAAATAATAAGATAAAATTATCCTAAGAAAATTAAAATAAATAGATTGAATTAATTAAATTAGTTAATAAAAGTGAAGAATTTGATAAATTAAAAATAAAGATAATAGAGCTTCTCTTGCTAAAATCAAATGATATATATCCAATTATTGGCAATTTTTAAGATTTTCTGAAAAAATATGATGAAGACTAAGACCTTCAAATGGCTTATAGGATAATTATCAAATTTATTAGACATTTAAGAAAATAAAATTGCTATAAATGTCATCTTTACGATTTAATTTAATTAATTCAAGATGATAAAACGAATCATAATTTTTATTACAAATAAAAATTACTGAAAGAAATAGGCTTATATCTTTACAAATTTCTTTTTTAATAAAATGAATAGCTAAATATTGATTTTTTTTTTCAATATGAAAAAGAAATTTTACTCTTACCATAAATCATTTTTAAATGCTTAAATGACATTAAACTAAAATCAAATTTATTAATTTAATTTGACAAAAGTATTTGGTAATTATATTCAATATTTATTAAGCTTTAACAATTAAATATTTATATCTTTGATGATTGCTAGAAAATTCTTGATAATATAGAACAAAAATATTAAAATATAATGATTAAAATAGAAAAAGAAAAATAATTACCATATATAGAATATGTTCTATACGATAAACTTAATTACTATGAAAAGTATCTTAAAAGATAAAATATGAAAAATTATTAGTGTTTTAATGAAGAAGTTAGAAACAAAGAAAAAGATATGATTTTTTTTTTAGCTTTTAATTTATATTAATTTATTAAGGATAACATAAAAAGTGAAATTCAAAAAAATAAAGAGATATGTTATAATCAAAAAGAAACAATTAACTTTTTTAATTTGACAACATATTTTGAAAGCGAAAAAATAAATCTAAATTTTATAAATTATTTGGAAAAATTCAATGAAAAAGAGTTTGAATCATTTAATTCTTAGCTCAATTTTGTCAATGTAATAAATTTCAATCTAAAAAAGTAATTATTTAAATTAAAATTGTTTAGTTAATAAAGAAATTTAAATTTAATTAATTTTTCTTTTTTGTCAATATTTAATTTGATTATTATTAAACTACAATAAAGCTTGAATGAAAATGAGAAGATTTTTAAAGAATTTAAGAATTTAAATGTTGAAATATAAAATAAATATTAATCTTACTATTATATTGAGAAGGAAGCATCTTTAAGTTTAATCATACAGTAAAATTATTTGGTTAATTTAATTCATTAATTAAATTGTATAAATTACAAATTTTTTAAATTTATTTTTTATTAAATTTTAAATATTTTACTATAAATTAAATATTTTTCATAAATATATTTTTTATTATTTATTAATTACTCAAAGGTATATTAATAAAATTATTTTATTAAATAAAAAATTATAGTAAAGATGATTATAGTTAATTAAATATGGCATGTTTTACTTTTCTTACTTCAAATTTGAGAAATGTAGAAGCTTTCAAATTTAAATTTCAGTAAGCAATTCTGTTTAGAGATTAAATTAATTTATTTAAATTAAATATATATGTAGCAAAAGTGAAGATGATAATAAAAATAAAGAAATGGATATATTGATATTTTATTTTTAGTTGTTTATGAATACTAAAACTCTAAATAATATCACTCAATTAACACTTGATGTCAGGTAATTAGTTTATTAAATTTTATAGTTCATTCTTTATTATACTAAATTATATTTTTATTTTTCTTCCTTTGTAAATAAATAAAATCTCTTTGATTTTACTAATTGTAATATTTGATAGATTTTTTTAATTTTTTTAATATTATATATCTAAAAAATTATGAAATTACCGTAAATCCTCATTAATTCTCACCAACCCC